ACTTCATCCATTCATCCCAATTAGGACCGCCACGTCGGGGACTCAGCTGGTTTCTGATATCAGACTGACCGCTATTCGTTTGGTTCGCAATTATGGTGTCAAGCTTTTCATTAACCATTTGACCTTGCTGTCGAATCTCTTCAACCGCAGCAGACTGAGCAGCAACCTCCTGGAGGAAAAGGTCGCGGTAAACTTTGCCATTTTCTAAAACGTTTTCTGAGAATTGAACAGGATACATTCAGTGAATACTTATTCAACTAGGCAACTAGGAAAAAACTAGAACTCAGGCCATCATGACAACGATGACACCCTGCGCCTGCAATATTTATGGCATCACTAGCGCATTTCAAAAATAGTCTATCGCACCACTACGCGGTCAAGTTTTCTACTTGCCCGGTAGACTAGTTATAGCCAAATGATCAAAAGCTAAGAGAACACCAAAATGTGCCAATAAAATACAAACGCACGTACCTTTGAGAATAGTATCAATTTCTTCCTTGCTTGCTCCAATAGTTTCTAGGTGTCCAGATATTGCAGGCCAATGGACTTGGTAATCAGCATCAGACATTTTCTCATCATGTGGATGGCTAACCAGCTTGTTCTTATAATCCTTAATGCTGCGAATAGCATCTTCAAACCCTGGTTTCTTGGAGATTTCATCATTGCATTTCTTCGAATACAAAAGTACGGTCGTAATGAGTGAAACATCCCATTTGTTGATGTCACCTTTATTGAAAGAAGCCAATTCATGCCCTTTAAGTTTCATGGACCCCTTAACAAGAGATTTTGCATCAGCAGAATTGTTTGACCAAGTGGGGTGAATATCCATGAAAAGTTTCCTTAGTGCAGTCAAGCCAACATCATACATGAGCCTCAGGACTTGAAGAAGATTTTGCCTACCGAACATTTAAAAAATGTAAAATTAAAACTAAACAATGGAATTTAAAACTTTACGAATATGATAATAAAAATTAATGTGGGTTTCAGACAATGAACACATACATTTTCATCAATAAAATCAACTAATCGATAGCATTAACAAGTTTGTCATCTTCTCTTACATATATAACTTTCTTTAATTTACCCTCGAATATATAGGTATTTCAAAAAAACTAGTAAAATAATATGATATCAAATACAGATTAGAATAAGACTGTAAAAAAAAGAGAATTTCAAAATTTAGAAAATCATGATCACCTTAAATATAACACCATAAATAATTTTCAAATTTATTATCAGAAATAATTTCC